CGTCAGAACCGGGGAGAAGTTGATTACATTTTAACGGTACACCTGAATACTTTCCCAACGATATTTTTGGTACACACACAAATACCTCTCAAACCTTTTCTCCGTGCTGAGCACCAATGCTACCGACGCCAGGGAGGCAGCTCCCACACCTGGACTCTACCTATCGACCCATCAACTCATGAACCGGGGACCAACGGCTTTACTTCCCTTCCCGAAGGAAGGCGTAATCAGAGATGTTATGCCTCAGAATATCCCGGTGGTGCCGACTGGGATTGAACCCAGGCCTGCTGGGGTGAGTGGTAATCACGCTTTGATTAGTAAGGCGTACTTGATCACTTACGTTTTTCATATTTTGAATTTCAAATGCGATAGTTTCACTGTATCAAGATATCAAAATGCATCCTATTTTTACAGCAGTCGGTATGGAAAATATCATAAATGAAAAAAAAAACATTATGTTAAACTTCGGTTGTCAAGAAGTCCCCGCTTTTCCATGATCGGAGTCACAATGTTTTCATAGTCCAAGGTTTTAAACAAATTAATAGCCGAAAATTGAGTTTTCACCTGCAAGTATTGACCAGACGGTGACAGTTCAAGAGAAGTAAAAAATTGTCTATGGAATAAGGAAGAGTGCTACTTCGTCACAATCGCCCATTTCCGTTCTATCGAGCAGAAAACATCTATATCATCAATGATTTCACCGTGCTCAAATCAAGAATACGTTTGGTTCGATGCGTTAGCTCATAAGCTTCAAAAAAATCCTATACGAGCCCGCTGTATGAATATTAACACTCATTGTTCTCAAAACAAAAGAAGCGCTAATAGCAATTTATTTTTTTCTGCGTTGAAAACCTAGAAAAATCAATGCTGATTCAATACGTTAGGACGGAATTGAAACTTTTATAGTAGAACGAATTTGGAATCAACAAGCAGTGTTAGATGTTTAACAATATCTCAATAATTTGTGACTCTGTATCAAATCCAATGGTACGTATAGAAAGGTAAATAAATTTGAAAGTCAAAGTAGGATCACTCTTTTTTTGGGTTCATATCCGTGCGAAAAAGAGAGGTTAAGTGCGGGTTGCTCAGTTTAGAATAATGTTACATAAACTTCAATAGTTGAAGAAAATATAAGAAAATTTCTAGGAAGCTCCATTCGGAGAATTCAAGACCAATAATTGAAAAGGCCTCAACTCCATTTTTTAAACAAACCTTGTAAGGCCATTTTCTCGCGAACCGAAACCTACATTCTCGAACCTTAAACACACTCGGAAAGAGGAGAATTTCCGCTACCTGTTCGTTTTGTTGGTTTGCGTTGGCGGACTTCGTTCGCGAGAAAATGGCCTTACAAGGTTTGTTTGCAAAAATGGAGTTGAGGCCTTTTCTATTGTTGATCTTGAATTGTTGATGTTTATTTTCAATAGCAGCCTAAACAAATGGTTAGTGCCAGTGAATTTCCGATAAGCTACAATTCTATCTTCTTTTTCTCATTCGATTCTCAACTGAAGTTGTAGGGCTGCCCTGAACATAGCACTTTAAAAGTCGTCAATTGAAAGCTGTCAGGGCGCGTTTAGCAAAATAACCATACAAATTTTATTAGGAAAGCGGGCTTCTATAGAGGAGATTTAGTGAATTTTTTTTTTTAATTCGGCTTTTGAAATATGTATGCATATACACACAGAGATTATTTTACTGGCATTTTAAACAGATGAATAAGTCAGTAAATCAAAAATAAGCATCAAACTTTTAACATAATATATTTTTTATCATTAAGAGTAAATTAATCACTCCGAAAAAAATAATTACGATTTGATTTTTCTAAAGAAAATTCATGTGTAAAAACATTTTTAGCAAGTCATCATGGCATAAAGTTGGACTCCAAAAACCACAAAAATCAACCTTTCGGTTTTGTAGAGGGTCCAATTTTGTTTCACGATGAAGACAAAATATTTTTACACGTACATTCTTTCAGAAATCTAACGATGAAACTGTTTTTCATGGATTTTTCACATCGTTTCCAAATATTTTTCGAAAAATCAAAACGTGACGAAAAAACAAACCCGATGTTTTCAACTGTTAGAAGAACATCGTGTGTTTGAATTTACAGAAAAATACAGATTTTTTCCTATTTTATACAACTCTTAAAAGTTTATTGACTTTTCCAGTTGTTCAAATACCCAGTAAAAATGATTAAACAGAGAGGCAGCGATTTTATGTGTAAACTCTTTCTGGATCTACTTAAGGCAACTATTGTAGAACGGTTACCACTGCACAATGGGCCAGGAATTAAATCTGGCAGGAAAAAATATTAACGCACTGGGATTGCATCTGATTGAGTTGACATCACAAGTGAAGTTTCTTGGATTAATTAGGACTATAATTTGGTGGATAAAAATAGTTCAAGTTTAGGCCGCAATGATGGCGCAGCAAAACAATATATTTTATTGCACAAGATAGAGGTTTGCTATCTCGGGCAAAGTTGTAAAACGTTAAATTTCAAAAAAGTAGTCGAAAACATAAACGCTGTACATCTTTAAACAACTGAGATACACGAAATTTTTTAGAATTTTTGCCTGAAATTCATGTTCTAAGTAATATGTTTTGAACAATCGTTCAAAAGAGTACTTTAATCATTTTTCCTCAATCGGTACGGTTCAATCCAATATTTTCTAGACCAATGCTGTTATTTTAAGAGTACTAAAAATATATATCACATGGAATAAAAATTTAAAAAACATGATTTTCTGTATGGATTTTCTAAAAAATTCGTAAGCGAATGCAAAATATCATCAATTATTCAAAATGTACACCAAACACACTTTAATTCCTCAAAATATCTCAAAGGTGTATTGAGATATATTAGAGATATTTGGATTTGATTCAAACAATTCAAACAAAACGTTCTACTGTTTTGCCAAACACAGCAAACCTCTATCTTGTGAAATAATAAAAACTGTATCGCTGCACCATCTTTGCGGCCAAAACTTGAACTATTTTTATCCACCATTGTAGTTCTGTAGATGTTTTGGAACGTTTTTTTTTTTAATTAGAAAAAAATATTTTGTTTTTAGATTTCCAATATTTTTAGAATAATCTAAACGTTACTTATTGTTTTGGAGTGGCAATCTTCCCTTCAATGCAGGAAAACACAATATAAGCGCTGTATTTGAGTGCGTAGCTAGTTTTATGTACATGATGTATCTTTTATTATTCTTAAAAACCTCAAGATCTTAATTAACGCAGACGAAACTCTATACGAAATAAAAGAATCTGATGACATAGATACTTTACAAAATGAATTATTGATCTTTTACAATTAGTGCAACAAAAATTTTTGCAATTGAATGTAAAAAAAATGTGATTCAATCGCGTTCAGTAGAAAACGGTTGGTAATCAGCAAATAGAAAATTGCAGAAGAGTTAAAGATTTAGGAATTGTGTTGGATTCAAAATTAACTTTTATTGACCATTATAATTAAATTATAAACAGAACTAATAACATGCTTGGTTTCATCGAACGTTTCTGTTATAACTTTCCTGATCCTTATACCATAAAAACATTGTACGCTGGATATGTTAGGTCAATACTAGCATATTGTAGTATAGTTTTGGAACCTTTTTCCAGTATACATGAAGTAAGGATTAAATCGGCCTACGAGGCCCGCTGTATGCTTATAAACGTCTAAACGCTTAAAGAGCGTCGTTAATGTCCAAATTATTTTGAAAACCTTCCGGCGACCACATTAAAGAATCTGTTCATGTCGCGAAGCATTGCAAATTCGGCATACTTTTCATGCAAATCTGTAATAGAATAATACATTCCTCTGTAGGGTGTAGTGTTAATTTGATCATTTCTAGATAGAGCCTGAATTAGGGCGTAACAGCTTTTGCAATGACTTCTCTCGTTGATTTCTAGGAACTCAAGGCACTTAAACCAACATATCCATCGGGTAGACGAAGTCTTCCTTTACTTGATGGTGATGTCGATTTGCCAGGGAGAGACATGACTTTCGAGAAATCATCGAAAGCTGTTACGCCCTAATTTCTTTAATTTTTCATGCGACATAAAACACCTTCTTCTTCTTGTTTGCCTTCATTACGTCCCTACTGGGACTTCACACCGGCACTCAACTTATTGTTTTTTTAACACGTCCACAGTTGCTAATTTTCGACCAACAATTGAAAACGGCCTATCAGCTTCTGTAAACCGAACTTTGTAAGCCCTTTTTCCTCGCAAAGCGTAGGCCACCCACGCAAACCAACCGTAGCACCTTGTAGGGTAAAGTTTCTCCTACCCGATAATGCAGTTGGTTTTTGTGTATGACCTACGCTTTGCAGGAAAATGGCTTACAGGTCGTTTTCAATTGTTGGTCAAGAATTGACAGCTTTCTAAGCCAGTATTTGAATTTGTATTATATTTGAATTTGTATAATACTCTATTCCCAGGACAGTCGAGAAATTATAGCTGCGCCTTTACCGACTGAGGGAGGCCTCAAATTTCAAACATAAGAAATTCAAATAGATTCACCATTTTGCACTTAGTTTCTTAGAAATTTGATTTCTCCAGCTTCTACCATTGCACACATAAAATAGCTTTGCACAGCTTTGCTTAGACCACTCACGAACTGAAGTAAAATGCCATTTTTTTTTTTTTGTATTTGCACAAGATATTCAAATGAAAATAAGATAATAAACTATTGAGGATTAACTGGCGCTGCCATCGATGTAAACCTCTTGCATATCTTGTAAAGTAACACCTATCAAATGCGCAAAAAATAACAACCCAATACGCTACCGAACCCGAACAACGTGACCTATTCTTCCTCCAAAGTTCATTAGCTCTATTGAATAATAAAGCTAATAAAGAAAACTAGACTAAACTATTGAATAAAAGCAATAAATAAGTTTCAAAATGATCGGTGCGATCTTCACTTCAGCACATAGAACGAATTTTCTAGACCTTAACTAACTGAAAAAAAAAAGTTTAAGCAATCCACTAACCCATGCTGCTGCAGCTCGACAAAGGCCGATTTTCCGGGTGCCGACGCTGCCGTCGCTCCGCCATCGATGTACTTTGGCGTATGCGGGGCATCCGGGGCGTCCATCCCGGACTGCGGCGTACTAGGGGGGCCCTCGTAAGGGCTCCCCAGATCCGTAAAGTTGAGCGTGTTGCCGCCGATGGAGGCCACTTTTTCGAAATGAATCGTAATGCCGTTGGGAAAAGAGCTCCGCTCACTCACTCGCTAGTAGTTCACAGGTTCCGGTACGCGGTGTGCTCCGGAACACTGTGATCGCGCGGTACCCGCGGCACTAAGCTTCAACGCGCACTGCTCCGAACACGACTTATTTCACTTGTTTACCAATGTTGCTGTTGTTGTTGTTGTCACACGCGCGGGGAAATCACAGACTCACACTGACTGTCGCACACTTTGATACGGATTCGGAAGTTGCTCACTTGGGTGATCACTTTCGATTTGATCGAATTTCTTTCAGGGATTCAACGATCCTTTCCGCTGCTACGACACAAGGATCCTTTTGTATGATGATACGTGTTTCTCGGTTTCTTTCCTTTCACTCACTAATCTACCCAGACTACCGCTGAGTTCTTCTATCCCTGTTTTTATTTTCCGATGCGTATTTTTTGGGTTCTTCTCTTCTACCAGATTCTGTTGATGTTTTCACACACTTCCTGGGGTTTTCGAATGGGGACTCCCTGCTGAGATATTATGTTCTGTTCCTGCTCTCTTTATCGCACTGCCGTCGCTTCTCGCCACCAATGATGATGCTCTCGACGTGGAAGGTGATGATTTGATTTCGTACACCGAAATGAAAAGGCGCTAATGTGTCAACAGGATGATCTTCTTTGCAGATGGATGCAGACACCCGGCGGTGGAAATTATGATTAATGTATCACAAAGTAACTAATTGATAAGGAACACAACGATGATTAGTGTTAGGACATTAGCCGCGATTCCACACTCCGATGATCACGATCCTCGGCTCAGTCGCTCATAATTGATTCTTCCACAAATGGAGTAATTCACTTGACTGGCTCGCGGCAAGAGACGGGGGTTGATTCTGTTGTTATAATTAAAATCAATTTTCATTCACGGGTGCCGGTTTCATTCATAAGCTCCGGATCGAAAGTGGAGGCCCAGGGTCCGTCGTCTGGAGGAATAATTACACTAATCCTAATTTTCGGTAATGATAGGTCACAATCACAATCACGTGGTCAACTGTTTCAGCAGGTCCACGACGGGCCTCCGGACTAGAGAGTAGAGTACCGGGTTAATAGTAGACGGGCACCACCACCACCATCAACTCGTGCGATGAGGTAAAAACTGCACATAAACATCACTAATTTATCGCTTCAATTTAAACTAATTACTGTTTTGACACTGTCTTCACGTAATCGTGAAAATTATCGCTTTGCACTCATACAGCCACACACACAAAACGAAAAAAAAAAACTAGAGCCGGGCGCGCGCGTAAACGATCACTACTAATCGCAGCTATCACACAATTGATTATTATGATTATTATTATGTGCGCGATTGAGTGTGGCAGCTTTCTTCCTCCAGCACTGAATCTCCTCCGACAGAGGAAAAACAATTGTCACTAATTGTCGCGCCCGGGTAAAACCGATGATCCCCCGAAAACTTGGCGAGTGTCCAAATTACATATCTTCCGTGCCCGTAATGATATAATCGAAAACAATTCCGAAGTGAATCGCCAAGATTTTTAATGGCATATAATATTAGTTTTCCAAATTGTATGTAATCTAGAAGCGAAGATGTATGTATTTATGTTTCTGCTATTTTATGTTTTCTGCACTCCTCTCGCCACGTTGGACCGTGAATCCGTTGCGTACTTTTTATTATGCTTAATGTTTAATACTATTTTCATTAATAACATGAAAAATGGTATACAAGCTGATTCTTTCCTTTTTGTGATTAGTGGGGTCTCTTCATCCACTCACTCTCGTTCTCTTTTTCTCGCTTGCTCAAAAAAAACCGCCGACGATATGATTATTATTACTCGTTATCTTCCTCTCTTCAACCGTCGTCGTCGTCGTCCCTTTTGGTGCGTTACGTCGACGTCCGATTTGCGCCAAGGGAATTATTAAAAAAGCAACGCTCGTTGCGCGACCAACCACGAACAAAGTGCGTTAAAGACTAGTGACTGTGAGCACACTTGGGAACGACCCGAACACAGTTGGGCTCGATCGTTAAACACACAGCGTAGCACTATTATTATGTACGCCCGACGCTTCTGATTGGTTGTGCGGCTGTGTGCAGACACCGCCTTCTTTTCCGTCATCCGCTTTGCACGAAATTTATTCAACATGAAGCCCATCAGAGGCGTAGCACCAAGCCCCTTTCCATACCACCACATCCCAATCCATCGCAAGATCCCTCAATTCCCAATTCGCAACCAGCTCAAATCTGCCGAATTCAAAATTCACCACCTCAAAACCCCTTATAAATCACATCAAAAACCATCCAATCCCTTTGCTACACCCCTGACGCTTGCAACACACGCGCTCTCTCGTAGGCGTTGTTTACCCGAACCTACAGCACCACCTCACCGAGCAGGCCATGCACCGCAAAAGCGAAGCCCCTTGGCAAAGCATAAACCCCACAGAAAACAAGTTTTGCAACACAACGCATACACTCACTCATACACACACTCACACACACGCATACAGCCCAGCTTGGGTTGAAACAGTCAAGCCAAAAGCCATCACAACCACCACCACCCCAAACAGTTGCATAGCTTCCTCTTTTGCTAGCATGGTTGGCACAATGGTATGGGTGACACCACACAACCCGAAGGCAGCTTGTGCAAACAGATGCACGTTCGCCTCCTTCTCTTTTCCACAACATCTTCTTTGTGCTGTTCACCACCCACTTCTGCACTGGTATTGATTCCATCGCCGGCTACACCACCACAGTCAGCGAAACTACTGGCTTATGCTCTGAGTGGTGCGAAGTGAAATTTTCTTCATGTTGGTAGTGTTGAAATAAACGTTTCATCACCGTCGGTTGGTAGAGAGAAGTGTCAAACGGCTTTTTGTGCAGAGCCGATTCGTGACTTTGTGATTGTTTGTTGACATTGTTCATAGCTGGAGTTTTTACGGAGTGGAATAAAATTCAGAATGAAGTGTTTTGCTCACTTTTGCAATTATAAAGATGGACACGACGAAAAGCGAAGCCTATTCAGTGGAAGTGCTGTCGAAATTCCCTGGGACCTCCAATGGCAACGATTTGACTTCCCTCCAAATCGTGTGAAACTCGAACATGAAAACTCTATAGAACCCCCGTAGAACCTCGCTGGCAGCAACTAAAATATCCACTGAAACCTCTTCTGTCGCGGGAAAAATCTGTTGAAATTTCCTGGAACTTTTGTACTATCATCACAAATCTCCTTAGAACGTTCTCCGAAGTCACAGTCGTTCCTGAGCGAAAAAAAAATCGGAGGGGTTTTTTTCAGCGCAGGAGTCTACTTTGGTCCAAAATACGCAATAATACTGTTATTTTTAATTGTTTGAGTCGTTTCGAATCACGTTTTTAAAAAGATCAAAAACATTACTGAAAAATATTTATGTTCTATTTTGGACGATAACAATACTTCTATCTATTTCAACGAACCACAATGATAAAAAAGTGGTTCGATTTGACAGCTCGAAAGTGGTTCGATTTTGAGGTCCGTCTTCGCACCACTCAGCTTATGCTGCTACACTGGCAAAGGGACAAACATTGGAAAGAGCTTTGTTTACGAATTGTTGTTTCGTTGCTTCGTTGCGAGCTTTCCTGAACTCAAACGTGTGTGCATCTATCTACAGGCACAGGGACTTGGACGGAGCAAATCCGGTTTCCACCTAGGGCGAGCGCCAAAACTTGCTGCTGCTGTTGCTACATCATCATAGAACGATTGGGCCTTGTTGCCGAGTGGAAAAAGCGCGAAATGGAGCTGTGGGTTGGGATTTTTTCGCGGGAAAACAGATTCGATCGGGATTCATATGATTTCAATAACAATTGACTTAGTAAACAGATCAGTGATCGCGTAAGAACAGTGTTTTAACATGACGATTTGTTATCCGCTCTGTTAGCATAGAACTTGGGGTTCACAGATTGTGCTTTTCGTGCAGTTAGTGCTCGGCCATGCTGCTATTAGGGTTCCATGGAGGTACCTATTTACCGATAAATTAATATTACAGTGTCCGGCAATTGAAGAGCAACATGTTTGGAATTTTGTTAATGAAAATAACGAAAACTATCGGAATTCACCCAATTCATGCACCAAATTTTTATTTAAAATAAGGTAACTGATGATGGTTGGACCTATTTATGAATTTTATGAATTCAACATATAATTATGAAAAATGCATGATTAGGGGAAAGATCTACTTTTCTTGTTTCTAATAATAACATACAAAGTTAAATATTATGAACAAATTATTTTATAAAACGTTTTTATTCAGCAAAGAATTATGATGTTGGTTGGACCTATACTGATCTTGGTTGGACCTAAAAATGATGATGGTTGGACCTATTTTTGCAAATGCTAGTTTAGCCCATATTTGTTCAAAAACTTTGTTTAGAGCTTATTGGTATCATGAAAAAACTCTTATTATACAGTTTTTATGAAAAAAATCAAGAAATTTGAGTTTAACTTCGTTTTTAAAAAAGTTCACTTTCCACGCATTAGCTATTCATCAGGGCTCATTTTCTCGGGAATCATTGACCCGATTTGGATTTTTTTTTTTAACGTCAAACTATAGGTATTGTGGTCCCATTGTAAGCTATCGAATATTTCGGTCAACTGGTTCCAGAGATATGGCCGGAACAAGTTCCAGGGTATATGGAACATGGACCTAATTTTGACATGGAAGGAATAAAACCTATCATGCGACACTTTACATTACTTCCAAATTCGATAACAAGATCAATAACAAAATTGAGTGCCTTGGACCACATTGGCCACTTCCGGGCCTGTTCTGGGTGCCCCCGGGGAATTTAGGGGCTTAAAATGACAGAATATCAGAACTTAAATCCGGTTTTATAGTTTTTTTTTTTCTACTAGGAGTTTTTTTTTCGGAAATAAGTTTCAGTTAGCAATTTTTAGTTTGTTAACATTTTATTTCAAGTTAATTCACACACAGAAGGTGTATGTGAAGTGCTTAATGTAAATTCATATTAACAGATTCTTTCGGCGCTTCCGTGGTAGTTCGGAAATCGGTGTTAACCCTTTCAACCAACCTGACGATGGAATTCCTCCTTTAAATTTACGCTCACTAGTGACGCAAGGTCTTTAGCAGCTTCCAAGATCTTTTTGGCCGTCTGGAGACTGCCAGAAGCAGCGCACATACAAACCCAATCCGCTAGCTGGTTCTCCAAATCAACACGCAACACTATTTCCCTTCCATATTTCTTGCCGTGGCTTCCCTTAATTTTTGCGTGAAGTGTGGTTTTCGGAATATTGTACCTTTTCTGTGCCTGATACGCGGAAAGTGATTTATTTTTTACTAAAAGAAAAGCCTCTTGAAGATTTTCGACCGTATAACTCTTTTCTTTAGCCATTTTTTCAATCGAAGAAACTGATCACTCGGAAAAAACGAAATCGAATTTCAAATCAGCTGCGCATGAAGGATGTAGACAAACCGAAGCGCACCTAGCGGCCGTCTTAGGAAACACATAGGTCCAACCATCATCATGCGTAGGTCCAACCATGATCATATTTATCTATTCGAATTTCGTCAATTATTCAAACATTTTAGTGAAACCAATAGATAAATGGCGTACTAACGTGCTGTTTACACCTTAAAGCAGTATTTTACTGCATGAAAATAAAAATAAATGTGAAAAATATTCCCTTTTTGTATGTTTGAAAGTAAAGCATGATGACGAGCAAATGCGTGAAAAGTGAACTGTTTTGAAAACACATTGAAACTCAATTGTTTTGAAGTTTTTTCAATAAAACACCCATGCAAATTGAAGAAAAAGAGTGTTTTATGATAGTAAAGTGAAAGCGAAGATTGACTAAACTAGCGATTGAAAAATAGGTCCAAACATCATCAGTTTTTGGATAGGTCCAACCAGAATCAATTACCCTATAGTAAGACTGGTCTTATACTATGATTTCAGGATTATCAATAAATTTAGCAATTTCAATAATTTTTTTGTATTCTTGAAAGATGCCGGAGAAGAAGAGACAGAAAAACTTTAAATTGTTAGTAAGTGGCCCCGTAACGTGGGTAGATCACCTTTCCGTAGTACGTTACGGGATGTAAGATCTACCACCGATTCCTAGTCCTGACTACTCCAAACTAAGGGAACAGGATTTTTCAGTAATCCAAGGAACACATCTTAGTCCTTGTTACTTTTTATGCCATGTTGATAGTGACAAAACTCGGCATTGTCCACCGAGGATGATCTTGAAACAAGGGAAAAATGAGTTAGTTAGTCTTTATCTATGTATGTGATTCCTAATCTTCTATTCGTTGTTCCCTAGTTTGAAGTGGTTAATACTAGGGTTCTGATGCATGGTCATTATCGGTGTCATATCTTAATTTTATTGCTAAGGAATCAAATTTTGACTGACAAAAGGGCGCGCCTTTGGAGGGTGTTTCAACACTTCAAAGCGTAATAGCGGGACCTTTCAATAAGAGTCGGATCCTTGCGATAAATGCAAGAGTGGCAACTGTAAAAAAAATCGAATACTTCATCATTTCTCAATAGTGATGGAGTAATACGACATTCACTAAACTAAGGACACACAATAGATCAAATTACTGGTCACAGTGGTGTTAGACCCCGAACAGAGAGAAAAAAAAGTAAGTGGTCTTCAAATTTTAAAATGTATGGCAAAAATCAGTGGCTTCTATTGGGTTTGAACTGATAAATAAAATATGTTGTAAGACCTTGCTATGCAATTTATAATCTTCAAAAATGTTAATATGAGAGTTTTCACATAAAAGTCATAGTAAATAGCAAACAAATTATAAATAGTTTTATGACAGCTCCTTCATGATCCTATCTTCGGAATAGCAAAAGTTTATGACAAATTATATCCATCTTCCAGTCAGTGATGGAAAAGTTCGCGAAAACTCACTATGATTTTGATAAGTTCTTTAGTGGGAATGACACTGATGAAGACTGCACATTG